CGCGACTTTTGAGGCGCCTCCAAAGCCGAATCATGGCGCGACGCACAGCATGACGAGCCCATCTCCACTTGTTTCGCAGGTCGCTTTGTTCTTTAGATTTCTCCAAAGCGACACACCACCCCCACACCACCCCTTGCCCTCCCCTCCCCCCCACACCACCCCTTGCCCTCCCCTCCCCTCCACACCAACCCCAGGAGCATCCCGGATCATGGCATACGATGAGCTCATCTCCACTCCCACCACCTCCTCCGCCTCCATCTTCCCCTCCTTTTCCTCCGCCTCCTCCACCTCCTCTTCCTCCGCCTCCTCCTCCCGCGCGCACCGCTCCTCCCCTTTCTGCCGCCGCTTCCGGCTAGAGGACCTAAAGCGCGCCACGCACCGCTTCGACCTGCGCCGCCGCTTGCACAAGGACGGGCATGGAGGCGCCTATGGCTCGGTGTTCCGAGCCGACTCCCGCCTTATCGCCGAACCTGACGCCCGGAGGCTCGACGACGGGAGAGGGTCGGCAGGGGGTGGGGTGGGGGCGCGGGGGAGAGGAATGGGGGCGAAGGGCGGAGGGGGAGGGGGAGGCGGGGCGGAGTGGGCTGTGAAGCGGTATGGGCGGTTTAGCTGGAGGGTGGGGGATAGGGGGAGGAGTTTTGAGGAGGAGGTGGAGGCATATGCGCGGCATGGGCATGTGCACTTGGTGCCAGTGGTGGGGTACTGCTGTGAGGGCCATGAGCACATGGTGGTGTATCAGATGCTGCCACATGGGTCCCTACGAGACAACCTGCACGCTCCCTGCGGTGAGACTGACTTCAGAGCCCTCTCCACATGTTGTTGTTGCTAGTATGTGGTAGCCTGCACGCTCCCTGCGGTAAGAGCCCTCTCCACATGTTGTTGTTGCTAGTATGTGGTAGCCTGCACGCTCCCTGCGGTAAGAGCCCTCTCCACATGTTGTTGTTGCTAGTACGTGGTAGCCTGCACGCTCCCTGCGGTAAGAGCCCTCTCCACATGTTGTTGTTGCTAGTATGTGGTAGCCTGCACGCTCCCTGCGGTAAGAGCCCTCTCCACATGTTGTTGTTGCTAGTATGTGGTAGCCTGCACGCTCCCTGCGGTAAGAGCCCTCTCCACATGTTGTTGTTGCTAGTATGTGGTAGCCTGCACGCTCCCTGCGGTAAGAGCCCTCTCCACATGTTGTTGTTGCTAGTATGTGGTAGCCTGCACGCTCCCTGCGGTAAGAGCCCTCTCCACATGTTGTTGTTGCTAGTATGTGGTAGCCTGCACGCTCCCTGCGGTAAGAGCCCTCTCCACATGTTGTTGTTGCTAGTATGTGGTAGGCTGCACGCTCCCTGCACGCCCCTCGCATCTGCCCATCTGACCTGCCTCCTTACTATCTGTATCCCTCCTTCTGCTTGCCTGCCTGTGCGTGCTGCATGTGTGCATGTGTGTCTACCTGCACACCTACATGACACTCACATCCGTGTGCGCACATCTGCATGTCTGTCACACACATGCAGATTCACCCAAGTCTATGGAGCATCGGTTGTGCATAGCAGTGGGCGTGGCGGAGGGACTAGCATTTCTTAGTTGACTCAAAACTCTGTGTGCGCGCACCTGTCTGTCACACACATGCAGATTCACCCATGTCTATGGAGCAGCGCCTGCGCATAGCAGTGGGAGTGGCGGAGGGACTAGCGTTCATGCACCAGCAGCACCCGCCACTCATCCACCGCAACCTCAAGCCATCCAACATCATGCTCACGCCCTCGCTGCAGGTATGCGCGTGCATGCTCACACCCTTTTCTCAATTTGTTTGTTGCTTTATTTTAGTATATATATTTTTATTTTATTCTATTTGTTATTACTTGTGATTCTGTAGCATCGCCCCAAGCCACCCAGCATAATGTTAACAGGTATGTCTTGTGAGCATGATAGGTTGAACACTTGAGAGTTCTCCTCGAGAGCTATGCCACTCTGCAGGTGTGCTCACGGGTGTATGACCCTTCCTCACTTGCTCCCTTGTCCCCTTGCACCCTGCCTTGCCCTCCACCTCCCCTCCCGTCGCCCCACCAGCCGCAAATCGGCGACTTTTGTTTCGTCCATCATGACGGGGAGGGGCGTATCAACGCGGTACCGGAGGCAGTGCAGCAGGAGGGGTATCGGGACCCTGCCATTGCTGACCTGCACCTGCCCACTCAGGCCCTCACCCCACAGCACACCGATGTGTACAGGTGGGGACAGGGAGAGAGCACACTATGTGTGAGTGAGTGGACTTGGAACGGTGCAGCAGGAAGGGTATTGAGACCCCGCCATTGCTAATCTACACCTACCCACTAAGGCCCACACAGGCCTCTCCCCACCTGTGCACTGATGTGTACAGGTGGGATGTGGAAGGGTAGGAGGGTGGGGATGGGGAGAGGTGGAGAGGTGTTGCTGGCTTGCTTCTGATCGTTGGCACGCAATGTGTGAGGTGTGGACTTTTTGAGAAGTTATCCCTCTCGCCTCCCTTCCCTCCCCTTCCATCCTTTCCCCATGTGCTTTCCACTAACCCCCCCTGCTCGCCCACTCCTCAGCTTCGCAGTAATCCTGCTTGAGCTGCTAACAGGGCGACTTCTGAAATGTCCCAAATGTTCTTCCCCCTATCCCCCCCCGCAATCCCCCTCACTCGCTCCCCAGCTTCGGGGTGATTCTGCTGGAGCTGCTGACAGGGCGACTGGCAGTGGTGCCAGACCCAGAGAACCCATCCGAGCTCATGGTCATCACCGACTGGGTCAGTCGCTTTTTGAGACGCCTCAAAAGTCGTCAGTTGCTTTGCCCTTGTTTTGAGAACCCCTCCGAGCTTGGACAAAGAGCCATTATTTTTAGCCAGTGTTTGTCCAACAAAGGGTCATCACCCCTCCAAGCTCATGGTCATTACCGACCTCCACCTTACATGGGTCGGTGCCTTTCTTTGCCCCCTCACCTCTCCTCCTTTACCTTCACGTTCACCTCGCAACTGCCTCGATTGCTTCCACCTGCGCTTCCACCCATGGTCCTATCGACAGTATCCGCCCTCTTTCAGCCATCTCATCCCTCCCATCCCTCCCTCCCATCCCTCCCTCCCACCCCTCCCTCCCATCCCTCCCTCCCACCCCTCCCTCCCACCCCTCCCTCCCACTTCTCCCTCCCATCCCTCCCTCCCATCCCTCCCTCCCATCCCTCCCTCCCATCCCTCCCTCCCATCCCTCGCTCCCATCCCTCCCTCCCACCCCTCCCTCCCACCCCTCCCTCCCATCCCTCCCTCCCACCCCTCCCTCCCACCCCTCCCTCCCACCCCTCCCTCCCATCCCTCCCTCCCATCCCTCCCTCCCATCCCTCCTTCCCATCCCTCCTTCCCATCCAATCCTCCCCACACACAACAGGCGGTGCACTACATAGCAGAGGGGGAGGTGCACCTAATCATTGACCCCCGGGTCTTCTCCCCAGATCTCACCCCCGCCTTCCAAACCCTTGGGGAAATCGCCTCTGCCTGCGTCGCCGCCCCTGCTGCCGCCCGCCCGACCATGGATGACGTGGCGCGGCAGCTTGCTGACGTGTACGCGGAGTATTTTCAAGGAGAGGGGGAGGGAGAGGGTGTGATGGAGGGAGGAATGATTGATGTATCACAACAACCAGAGGTGTAGAGCAGGTTGTGGTGGTTTGTCAACTGATTTCCAGTTATGGTTTTCACAACTACCAAATGCATAGGTGATTCTGTACATGATGTATGTTGCCTGTAGGCTGTAGCTCTTGTAGTTAGGTATGAGCAAAATACCGAACTGTAAAAGAGCAAAATCGCAAAACACCGCGGTTCGGTTAGTTGCGGACAGAACTTCGGCCTTGTTTTCTTCATTACGTTCGCGACAGGCCGAACCAGGTTTGTCATCGAACCGGATCGGCGGTTTGGCCTGTCTTTAGTGAAAGGGGTGGGTCGGATTGTTGTACGGATACAAAATCATACAAGCAGGCTGGATGTGAATGCATGTGTGTATTCCCTCAGGGTTTCTAACATGTTATCATCTCACCCATCCATACCCACACACAAAATCTCAGGCACCATCCGCACCTTACATGCACAGCTAACGATACACCTTATAAAACAGTAATATAGATTCTCAATACACTTCGTAGAACAAATACCGTAACTTTTTCTGGTGAAATCAACCTCTACCTATTACCAGTACTGACCTGACCCTAAGAGCGTATTCCTACGGGGCCACCTCGTATCAAGAATGAAATTGACTTTTGTTTACGGTATAAAACACCTTATATCAAGAATAGACCGAACCAGCGCACCAATGAAAATGCTCGCACACCCAGAAGTGAACGTGCTGATTTTCCGACGCACGGTTCCAGTTGACGCGAAGTCGTCAGTCCAGTGAATGCGGCCGACAAACAGTCATGCGAAACTGCACACGGTGGCAGTCGTGCGCCGCACGCGAACGTGCAAAGTGTGCAAACTTGTTCATGCTGGGTCGCAACATGCCACATCAGCTGTTGATGGAGTCGCACATGTGGGTTAACCGGCAACTTTTACTGATATGAGGTTTTGGCGAACTTGTCAATTTACAGGCAGGAGTACCATTCTTGATACGAGGTGGCCCCGTAGGAATACGCTCTAAGACTTCTCAAGCTGAACCACCAGGCCATGCCCCAAAGGAACAAGCCAGCTACATACGGAACTACTGGTAACGACAGCCAAGGTCAGTTCGGGCCTTGGAAGGGGGTTGAGTGGGTATAAGCAGAGCAATACATGAAGACTACAATTAGGTGTAAGAATCAGCGAGCAGCGGGCGGGCACATTGGTGAGCAATCGAGCCAGCGGGTGAGTGAGTGAAGAGTGAGTGAGTGAGTGAGCGGGTGAGTGAGTGAGTGAGTGAGTGGTCACATGAACAAGTGAGTGAGAGGCTATGCGTCCTGCTGCCAGCAGCTGCCTGCCCCGGTCATTCAATCAGCAGCGCAGCAGCTGACTTGCATGCAGAAAAACGGTGGGTGCAGCATCACAGCTCGTTTCCATTGTCTGTGTGCACTCTCGAGTACTGAAAGTTGCCAGGATGGAATGATGTTCTTGGTTGCTGATAGGAGGAAACGGGTTGGGATGGGATGGGATGGGATGGGATGGGATGGGATGGGATGGGATGAAATGGGTTGGGATGGGATGGGATGGGATGGGATGGGATGGGATGGGATGGGATGGGATGGGATGGGATGGGATGGGATGGGATGGGATGGGATGGGATGGGTTGGGATGAAATGGGATGGGATGGGCTGGGATGGGATGGGATGGGATGGGCTGGGCTGGGCTGGGATGGGTTGGCATGGATAGGGAGCAGAGAAGTTTTATATGCCTGAGAAAAAACACAAGTGACATAGGCAAGCCTCTCAAGCCTCTCCCTTGCCTCCCTTGACGTCACCCTCTCACATGTGCACTCACACTCACACTCTCACTCACACAAGAGCGCGAGCACGGTTTTATTTTCCATTCCCTTTCCAATCCACCCCACCCCCTCCCTCTCCCCCCTCTCACTCCCACTCTCCTCCCAAACCCTTCCCCTTCCAGCACTCTTCCGTCCCACGCTCTCTGCTTCCCCTGACCCAATCCACTCACCTGCAAGCCTATGCCTCCTCCACCAACATTCTCCCTCCCAGGACCTCTTTCCTCCACTATCCTCTCCCTGCCATCCACCTCCTGCCGCAGCTGCTGCAGCTGCCTGCGGCTCCTCTCCTGCTCCTTCTCTGGCCGCCCCCTCCTCTGCTTCAGCCGCCGCCGTGCCACGTCCTCTGACAGAATCTCGTCACTCTCATCCTGGAGAGTGATAAGTGAAGGAGATCACGAAGGGAGAAAGAGATCGCGAAGGGAGAAGGAGAGCGCAACATAGGGAGAAGGAAGAGACCAAAACAATGGAAAGGGAGGGAGGGTGCAAATATGAAACGGAGAGAGGGTAGCCAACAGTCGGGAGGCAGGCAGGGAGGAGCAGGGAGGAGCAAGGCGGAGACGGTGCGTGCGTGGTCAGCCAAAACGAACGAAACGAGGCAAACAATGCAGCAAGGCAGCAGGAGAGAGAGACACGTGGTGCAAGAAGAAGCGTACCTGGTTGAGAGCAAAGGGGTGCCTTCTGGGAATGAAGCGCACTGTCATGGGATCGACTCCATCTGGCACAGGATCTCCCTCCACCAGCACCACCTGCAGGGCGGGGGGGAGCGAGGTCGTGTGGTGATTCTTAAGGTGCCTCGGAAACTTCTGTCAGCGCATCACAGAAATGCCTTTGGGGAAAGGAGCAAGAGGGAGGAGAAGGGGAAGGATGGAAATACGACAAACCAGAAACACAGAAAGAGGGTTTTCCGCACCTGTGGTTTCTTCCATCCGTGCTCCTTCTGCCGCTGCTGCCTGTGAAATTCCATCTTCTCAGCAGTGAGAGGCGGTAGTGGCTCCATCTGAACCAGCATCGTGTTGCCCACGCGATAATTCAGCACTGATGTGGGGTCATCATACTGCGATATCACGTTCAACCTGGGATTGGACGAGCGGGGAAAGGTTGGGAGGAATTGAAAAGGGTTGAGGGGCGGTAGTGGCTCCATTTGTACCAACATCGTGTTGCCCACACGATAGTTGACCACCGATGTGGGGTCCTCCTCATACTGCGATATCACGTTCAGCCTGGGATGGGACGGGTTGGGAAGGGTTGGGAGGAGTCGAAAAGGGTTGGGAACCATGAGAAACGGTTCGGAACCATAAACCGTGTAAATTGGGGATGGGATAGGTGTGCAAGCCAGGAACTGCAGACAAGCCAGAAAGGTATACGAACTGAGTGGAGAAATGACAATGAATCAAGTCACGTACGGCTCGCTTCTATCCGAAGAAACGAATCCTCTTCTAGTAAGAAAGTCCACGCTCCTCTCCCTCCCTCCTACCCTCAACCGTTGCACGTAGGCCGCTGCAGCAGCAGCTAGCACGAGCAGCAGCGAGCCCCCCCCTGCAGCGAGTGCCCATGGGGAAACTGAGGCCCGCAAGCCTGCTCGATGGCTTGTGACGGACTGCTTGCCGTAAGAAAGGAAGGACGAAGGGAAGAGATGTTTGAAAGACACAAGGACCGGATGGGGGACCCGGGGACAGAAGCGGAGAATGAAAAGATTGGTTGAGCTTCATACAGAGCGGGCTTAATCTGAAATAAAACGAGTCTTTTGAGGACGTAAAAATAGCCTACGGAAGGTAAGACACTGACACGGAAAAACTTCAAACACCGGAGAAGCAGTTGTGCAGAGCAGTGTCACTCACAGGCGCTGCAGCTTGCTCAGCCGTCAATCTCTGTCCACCTCTGCTTGTCTGGGCCTGTCGTCCGTCCGATGCAATCCCAGCGGATACTGGCGCGCTTGCCACGCCTTTCCGTGTCTCGCTCAGCCGAACAGAGCCGTGCCTCGCGGATGACTGGCTGCTAACTACCACGTCAACATACACTCCTTCCCGCGTTCCCCGCTCTTGCTGCCGATGTTGTTGCGGCCCCTGCTGGTGCTGCTGGTGCGGTTGGGTGCTTCTAACGGGTTCCGTCCGGCGAGAAGTGCGGCGGAAACGCGCGCGAGCGGAGACCGGGGGGAGGGGTGCGTGGCGCGGAAGCGCATGATGCTCGACCTTGCTGTGTGCGGAGGATAGGACGTGATTGGGAGATGGCAGCGATGATGGTGATGAAGACGATGATGATGAGAGCGGTAGGAAAGGAGAAGACATGAGGCCAGTGATCGTGGAGCGAGAGCGGAGAAACGTCGACGGCTGGATGTGCATGATGGAGGAATATCTGGCGATGGAGGAATATCTGGCGGTGGAAGATGACGATCTGACGGCCCACGATGTGCAAGTGCTGCTCATGATGCCTGCGACTGGAGGTGCTGCCTGGTGATGCTGCCTGCGACTGGTAATTCTGCCTGCGACCGGTGATGCTGTCTGCGACTGGTGATGTTGCAGGCGCCGGTGACGTTGCCGGCGATGATGCCGTTAACAGTATACAATAAAAGTGTGAGATATGGGGCCTAGTAGAAGGTGATGTGAGGAGATTAGGACGAAGAACTGATATTAACAGTGTTAAGTATCGTGTCAGTCGTTCGGTGGTGACGAGGAACAGACATGGGCAAAAAAGCCATCGGTGGAGCAACAACAGGGTTATACCTGAACCTTAAAAACGACAACGGTACGAATGATGGGCGAAATACAATAGTGATCTAACGTCCAACGTTTCAAAACGCTTTGTCTGACTGGAGTATGCGAGTGAACTAAAGTGACAAGCAGGGAGCCAGTCCACTAATAGACTTCTAATAGACCTAGAAATTAGTCCTAGACTGCTGTGAGTGAAGCTGACGAGACGAGGAGTGCAGTACTGTGTTTGCCTTGTCGTTCCAACCTAGGTTCTACTTCCCGCTTGCGCTTGCATTGCAACATCGTTCGTGAAAGCTGCGAAACACACCTGTTACAATGCATTCCCGAAAAACAACCCATGCAATCAAGAATACCGTTTACATTCTTTTGATTGATGGTGTACACCCAATTCTATATTATTCATAAACAATGCCTCCCTCGGGGTTCAGTGTCCCTAGATCCCGCTGATTTCTGTCACTGTTGTTCTTGAAATTGCTGGACAATTATCTGTCCATTTGTCATCGCATCGCAATATTCAATTGTCCAGTCGTCTCCTCTCCCTACATACTGGGCAGATTTTTCCGTTGCACGGTGCGCTCGGCGTTTTATTAGTAGTGCCGATCGTCGTTTCCATCTGACCGTTCTATCCATGCAGACCTTCTCTTCTGGATTTCTCGCTAGTCTGTATGGAGTCTTCTCATTACGAGCGTAGCCAGTCCTCAACTACACAATCTAGCGTCCGCGCGCCGGTCTCGCCGAGCCCAAGCCCCTGTAGCGCGCTTCGGTTGTAAGGGAAGGAATGGCGAAGCGTGTCACAAAGTAGGAAACGAGACAAAAGTGACTAGAAACAAGACAGTACAAGGTTTGTATAGGCAAAACCTAACAGTACTGTACCCCATAAGGAGTGCCCCACTACAGCCTACAATATAGTTCTGACACACCCCCATAGGCAAAGTGGGGGACAAGCAAAAGATTAATGCAAAGGTCAAGCTCAAGGTGGATCACGACGTCACCACGCATTCTGAGCACAAGCAAAAGGCCACAAGGCCAGTTCACATGCAGAGTTTTATAAAGAGGAGAACAAGTAGTACAGTGATCACAACCTAGCAAGTATAAGCATGCAGGTGCAGGTATACATAGATCACAGTATAAGCAAATTCAAGAGGTGAGCAAGTGAGGCCAGGTAGGCACAAGACCTAACAGAGTACAAAAACCCTGATGATCACAAGGCTGAAGTGCCTTGGTAAAGATATCAGCAGTGTTGGCCCGAGTGGCCACGTAAGCAAGACGAAGCAGACCACGCTGCTGCAACTCTCGAGCAAGGAAGTAGCGCAGAGCAATGTGCTTCGTTCTGTGCTCCAGTCTGTGCTCCTCACACAAGGCAATCATGGCCTTGTTGTCGACGTACAGAACTGGAGGAGAACGAGGCGCCTCTCCCAAGTCGGTCAGCAGGTAGGTGAGCCAACGTAACTCCTGTGCAGCCATGGGCCCAGCGTATATCTCAGCCTCACAACTGGAGCAGAGAACAGAAGACGAGCGAGTAGACCGCCACAAAACAGAGCCGGAACCAAGGCTGAAGGTGTAACCCTGTGACGACCGCTGCGTAGCCAAGTCGTCAACCCAAGAAGCGTCTGCGTGACCAGTGAGGACAACTCGAGCCCGTCCTCCAAGCACGAGCCCCATGCCTGACGTACTGCACAGGTAGCGCAACACCCTCTCAGCTGCAACCATGTGCTCTGGTCGGTGTCTCCCAGGAGCAACATAGCGTGCCAGGATGCTAAGAGGGTATGCCAGGTCAGGTCGAGTGCAGGTAATCAGGTACATGAGGCAGCCCACTAGCTCTGGGTACGGGCCACTCGACTCTACGGACTTATCCGAAGGCAGAGCTGAGAGCGAGTGGCTAGTAGACAGAGGAGTGGCCTGAGGCGAGGAGTACGTGAAGTTGAAGCGCTAAAGGACCTGCTGCACCCTGCGTGACTGAATCAAGGTAATGGTGCGCCGTGCTATGTCCCCGGTGATCTGCAAGCCAAGATAGCTGCGCAGCTCACCCAGGTCTGTGCACTTGTGTCTCTTCCGCAGCTCCGTCTTCACGTGGGCGAGTCCAGCAGTGTCAGCAGTAGCAAAGACCAAGTCGTCGACGTACACGAGGATGTAGAACGGCGGCAGAGTAGTGTCGGTGCGGAGAAACAGCGACGGGTCAGCAGTGGAAGGAGCAAACCCAAGAGCCGCAAGCGTAGTCCTCAGTGTTTCATGCCACTCGCGGGGTGCCTAGCGGAGACCGTAGACTGGCCGCCAGAAGCTCCACTGGGTACCAGGAGGAAACGACCCAGTGAAGCTAGGTGGGCAGCGCAGCCAGATCTCCTCGTGCAGGCTGCCCTATAGGAAGGCAGTGTTGAAGTCAAGAAAGTGAAGCTCGTAGTCACGCTGAGCAGCGACGTGTAGCAGTACCCAAAGAGTGGTCATTTTCGGGGTGGGAGAGAAGGTCTGAAAGTAGTCAACTCCTTGCCGCTGACTGAAACCTCGAGCCACCATCTGACACCTTGTAGACAGGCGGAGAACCCGGCGACCGCTTCACCCTGAAAATCCACATGCCATCGACAATGTTCGCCCCAGGTGGGGGAACCTCGTCGACGTAGGTGCCTGTGGACTTCCTCTGCGTCCATGGCTGTCTGCCACTGAGAGGAGTAGGGACCCTCTATCGCCTCTGCGTAAGAGCGCGGGGTCGGGATGTCTAAAGCATCCGGGTCTCCCTCAGGGGCAATCAGCATGGACACGAGATGAGGTAAAGCAGCAGCAAAATACTGGAACTCCTCCTGCCTGTCCTCAAGGACGTCCGTGCTAAGGGCACACTCACCCCCGACGGACGGAGGACAGACAGACGCAGACTCAACAACAAGACTAGCGGCGTAGTCTAGATGACAGTGAGCAGCAAAGTCGACAAGCTCAGCAAAAAGAGCAGACGCAGCAATAGACTCAAAGGAAGGGTCAGTGACAACAGTGGCCAGGAGACGCGTGACAGTAGGACTAGCAGCATGAAGGGAGTCCGACTCCGGGTCAGCAAGAGCAGGAAGGGAGGACGCGGGAGGAGACGGCAGAGGGACACGCTGTGGAGCAGTGGAAGGACGCAGTGCCATCTGGTGCGTGCCGGGGACAGGAGGAGGACGCTGACGCGAACCACGACGACCAGTGCGAGCAGCGGGAACAGGCGACGTAGGGCGAGACGCAGGCTAACGGCGCTCAGCAAGACCTCCGGTCGGACCAGTCTAAGGAGAAGGAGCAGGCAGTGGGGAGGCGGGCTGTAACTGTGACTGCGACTGAACTGGTGGTGGACACTCTAAGGGAGGAGCAAGACTAGTAGAAGGCGGGAGACCAAGAACCTGCTGAAGGAGTGGAACGAAGTACGGTCGCGACCGTGCAGCACCACCAGAACCAGCAGAGACAGCACCAACACCCCCAGCGTCAGCTCCAACTCCTGCAGCACCACCAGCCCTAGTAGCACCTCCAGCAGCTCCAGCAGCGCCAACTCCAGCACCTCCAGCAGACCCAGCTCTAGTTGGACCACCAGAAGTCCCAGTAGCTCCTGTAGCGCCCGCCCCAGCACCTCCAGCAGCACCTGCTCCAGCAGTACCGCCAGCTCCAGCACCTCCAGCAGCTCTAGCTCCAGCAGCACCACCAGGCCCAGCAGCTCCAGTACCTCCAGTACGAGCACCTCCGGGACTAGTGGCTCCAGAACCCCCAGCAGCTCCAGTAGTAGCAGGACCCCCAGCTCCAGTAGCACCACTAGCTCCAGCAGCACGGCTCCAGCGCCGAGCAAACCACTCGCGCAGCTGCTGTGGAGAGAGTGGCTCCCGCTGGGACAAGGGACCCAAGGGACCTCGAGGCTCAGCACCCCCAGGCTCAGCACTCCCAG